GTTCCTTCATCGACTTCGGCTTAAATTCACGAGTAAAATGACGAATATCCGTGTTCACAAATGCTCTCCTGTGTCTTCAGGAACTTGGAGCTGGAAGACGCCGAGTACACGAACCTGAACAGGATTCTAGCTCAAGTGATCTCCAGCATGACGGCCTCGATTAGGTTCCAAGGCTCCGTGAACTTGAATCTGAACGAGATGCAGACGAACCTGGTGCCATTCCCTCGGATTCACTATTGTCTTTCCACGTGCGCTCCATTGATCAATCCTAGGAGAGCCTTCCATTCGGAAATTACCACGCAGGAGATCACTCAGGACTGTTTCGAGCCCTCTAATCAGGTGCTAATCAATTTCCATTGCAGTTGTCGGCTCCCGTGATCTCGGATACCACGCTCCTTACTATCTTTGCTCGATCGATGAAATTGCAGATGATAAAATGCGATCCGCGGACCGGTGCTTACACCAGCTGCTGTCTTCTCTACCGTGGCGAAGTCAGTCCAAGCGATGTCAACAGCGCGATCGCGTCTCTGAAAGGGAAAAAGTCCATTCAGTTCGTCGACTGGGTTCCGACCGGGTTCAAGGTGCCCAGACATTGTTAATAAACATTTGCTCGCGCAATCATTTTTCCTAGAAAAATGATGCACCAGGTCGTCGGTTCATCGGTTTCATTACGTCCGGTATTATGACTAACGCCGCAATCGATGTGTCACGATCAACGTCCCTAATATTTTCTAATCTCGAATTCTGTGCTCTGATTTCGATTAAACTGATAAAAGAAAATCGAGCGCAATTAGTTAAGTTAACCTTTTGACATACCATTTTCTTCGCAATTGCCGCGACTACGAATTTTTCGATTGCTATAATTTCTGAGAAGGGAAAGAATAATCGATGCTTATTGTGCGCCTAAATTTACTCGAATGCTTAAATATCGATGACAAGAGATTAGAATTTTATTCCAATTTTGAAGGACTGAATAACATCTATGCTCGATAAGTTATTGCTAGAAATTTTCACGACGATTCGGACTCGTCAAAGTACGGCAAGGGGTTAATTAAACGCTTAACAGACGGGTTGTTTTTTCCGTCTTTCTCGGTTTCCGGGCATTTTCTTTAAGAGAATTAAATAAACATGCACGTATGGTTTCGAAGCATTGTAATTTTATTAACGCTAGATTTACGGAGCTGTTTTAAAACAGCTAAAAAGACAGCTGTTTTATATTTATAATGTTTCTTATACTTATATTGTTCATAAAAGTTACAATAAGACATTTATTCCGACTTCGAACAAAGTGTTATTGTAACATTTGCCGCGAGTAACATACAAATTGAATAAATAACTCATAAATGTATCTTAATTAGAAAAATTAAGATAAAAAATTCATCGACACAATATAGAAAATTAAATTAAGAAATTAGTGACCCGTCATTTTGACGGGTTCCGCAAATCTAGCGTTAAATCGATGCAAGTTTCGATCAAATTTTCTAAAGTTATTTTTTTACATGTGTCTGGTATTAATAAAATATTAATGAAGTGTTTGATAAAATATTAATAAAAATTCAAGGAAAAACGTGAATCTACGTGCGGCCCGTCCTAGAAAGTCCGAATGGAGAAACGTGAATCTACGCGACCCGTTCGTTAAGCGTTAACTAATAATTACATACAAATCAAGTTGTTTTGGCGCAGAGTAAATTAAGAGGCGAAACCACCCGCAGGTAGGAATCAATCATCAGCCGACGATGTCGGTTCCCGGCGGAGACATAGCGAACACGAAAAGAACGGTCACGATGCTGAGCAACAACACCGCCGTCAAAGAAACGTGGGCGACGCTGTTGCGGAAATTCGACATGATGTACGAGAAGAAAGCCTACCTGCATCACTATATCGGAGACAAGTTGGAGGAAAGCTTTTTCCAAGAAGCTCGGGAGAACGTATCGACATTGATCGACAATTACAAGGAGGTCGAGAAATGAAGGACGTCTGTTCCGATGATAACCGGTCTCCTGTCGTTGTTGGTAAACAGACTAATTGTTTTTTAAGCTTCGATCGTTATCCGACGTGAGATAAAACGTTCTATCCAATCGTTATATTTGGGAGCGGCGATCGATTAGGATTACCGGGATAAATAATTGGGAGATAGGAGAGCGAACTTCAATCTTGAGCAATGAAAATTTCAAGGTCCCTTCGGCTTTTCCCGCCTCGACAAATTCACGAATGCTCTTCAAGCAGAAGCAGAAATGTACAAACAAGTCTCCTCTATCACAATCTCTTGTACTTTCGCAGCAAAAAGCCTCGAAGCTACCGTCGAGAAGACACCTAGACTGAAATATCCTGGCATTGATCTCTCATCGCGAACGATTGAGAAGTTTGCCGAGTCTGGATCATCGTTGACAGCGATTTAACATCGAACGCCGACAACTTTGCATCGAGATCAAGATGATTACAGTGTCCGAGATGACGAAGGCCCCGGAGATCCTTCAAATTCAAACTTTTTGGTACGAGGTTTGATCGCGGAAGTAAAAGATCGAGACGATCGAGCGAGATTAAGAAGAATCTGCGGGCGATAAGGAGGCTGTCGGTGGCAGACTCTGCGGCACCAGCGGCGCGATTTGAACGCGCCTGTTCCACGCTTCGTTCCCATCGTTTGGCAGCGGCCGCGCGAGCCCGATGATAACGTTAATGATAACGAGCACTCCCCGCGCGGGAGCTTGCTCGCGCTCGCAACCACGCGTTCTCCTCGAGCTAGCGAACAATAACGGTGTCCTGGGCTCTCACGTAACACCGTGCATCTGATAAGGAGCCTTCGGCGACTGGCTAATTCACGGTGATAACGGTGCGTCACCTGCTTTGTTCTCGAAATAATTGGAACCGTATCTCCGGCATCGAGATACCCGCGTGCTCAATGGATTTCTCGCGGAGGGCCGGCTGACAACTGAAACGAGAAATTACGTTACAGAAAAGGCCGATTAAAATTATCCCGGAAGAAAGCGACGGGAAAGTGTGGCGCGACAATAGAGAACCAGAATCGAGAAGGAGAACTGATAGCTGGATATAATTGTACTTAGAATTGTATCGTTTGTTTCATACGTTTCGATCTCGAGATTGTTATCATCTTTATAAATTTAATTGGATAAAAGGCTCTTTATATCCATGTTTTGAAATGACCATAATTGCATGAATCGCTCGTTCGGGACACAGGCGATGTTTGGCATGGTTCGCTGCTTTTTTTGCTACTCGGCGATAAGACTAGAGAATAAAATTTGGCAGAAGTAGAAACGAATCTGAAATGTCAAAGCACAGAGATGTTTAATCGCCATCTTGTACGTGTACAAGATGACCATAATTGCACGAATCATTCGTTCGAGACACAGGCAATATTTTGCATGGTTCGCTGCTTTTTTTGCTACTCGGCGATAAGACTAGAGGATAAAATTTGGTAGAAGTAGAAACGGATCTGAAATGTCAAAGCACAGAGATGTTTAATTTGCCACCTTGTTCGTGCAGTTAAATGCTTAATTATCATCTGGTACATATCTTATCCCGGAGCCTTTTGTACGCATCGTTCCACATTCTACATTACAAGACTTTGTAATCGATGTTCGATCGACACGATTGCTCCTATCAGCTTGCAAGGTTTCAGAAAGCCCATCGACCAATCATCGATCGAACGGTGATGCGGCAACGATGTCGTGAACTTTGCGTAGATCTCAAGACATGGAACTTCCAAAGTCTCGAAGATTGAGGGTCCGCGCGGCGATAACGTATCGATCTCTGATCGAACCGTTTACCCTGCCCCCCAGCGAACATATCGCCACTCAAATTTTATCTCCCACGTGTACCCACCGTCTACGTTTACGTAATTTCTTTCAAACAACGAATGATCATCCAGTGATACAGATTCCAGACCGTCTGTCGTTCTCAATCGGCAAACGGAGAAACAAGTTTTAAAGACTCCGATCTCATTCGATTTAGCACGCTTGAGAAAGTTATTTGATTCAAGTTTCAAGAACAATCATTTTCATTGACCGTAATTTTCTAGATATATTTAGAGCGGTATTATTTTTTTATGTGTGTACACGATGGCTTTTCTTACTCGCTATCTTTTTAGACAGTTTCTTCTAGAACAGATCAAACAGAATTAGATGTACAGTAATGTCTCTCTAATTGACGCTCGGATTGTCCAGAAAAATGGACAATTCGGGAGCAGGAGATACGATTATTCGAGCGTTGCGGTTCGTTTCTATAGTTACGAATTATGCAACGACTATAAAGAACGAGCTACAAGGCTCGAATAATCGTATCTCTTGTTCCCAAATTGTCCATTTTTGTGCAGAATCTGAGCGTCAGTTAGGGAGACATTACCGTACTCTGTGATCTTGATCACGATTTGCGCAAAATCTGAGAGTTAATGTTTCAATAACTCGACGGCGGAGCTTAATTTCTTGACTGTGACACGTCTCCGAGAAGTCTTCAGGTCGTTCTGTTTGCAATTCCGTTTTGTGCGATAACTGGGAGGACTATACAGTAAATTCTCCCTAATTGACGCTCAGATTGCGACGAGGAGATACGATTATTCGAGCCTCGCGGCTCATTTTTACAGTCGCCGATTGCAAACAGTTATAAAAACGAGGTGCAAGGCTCGAATAATCTTATCTCTCCTCTCTCCAAATTGTTCATTTTTGTTTACGAGCTGAAGGGAAATTAAGGAGAATTTACTGTAATTATTTGTTCAATAATCCAATGATCGAGCTTACTGGGAATTTATCGACTGCGGCCGGTTATCGAGAGGACACCAGACCGTTATCAATATTCGCGATCGCACTATCGCGATCACGATGTCTGCTCGTTTCACCTCGCGATGCCACGAAAGATTCACGTGAATCATACACAACCATGTCGCTCTCTCTCTCTCTCTCTCTCTCTCTTTCTGCGTGTATCTCTCTCTCTCTCTCTCTCTCTCTTTCTGTCTCTCTTCCTGCGTGTATGTCTCCTCCTCTCTCTCCCTCTCTCGCTGTCTCTTTCTCTCCCGGTCACGCGTATTATTCGCGGATAACGCAGTGCAGCCGACTTTTGCGTCGAACATCGCCGAGGGTTACATAGACAGACCGCACGAACCCGATGAACTTGCGGATCAGACGTAGCTGACAAATTTTCCATCGACTACATACTCCGTTGTTGGAACTTTCTTCAAAACACGCGGAACGCACGGGGCCCAGATAACTGCGGAAAGAACGATCACTTCCTTTCCTGCTCTCGCTCCGTCATCTTGTTTCGCGAAAAGAACGAGTCATTTCACAAGTCATTATTTATTTTCGGTGCCGTGACGTCTCTTTTCAGAATCTGTATTAACCATTTCCGAATTACAACCGCGCAGCTATTGTGCATTAATTTGTTCAACATTGCAGACACTCTGCGACACTGTCTTTTTTGCAGTTCTTCTATATTTTTAGAACATCTTAGATTGGATATCATTTTCGCGGATTTAGCACTGGTAGAAAATTGTGCAAAAATTTTGAAAGACGCTTTCTAGTGTGTAGTTTTAAGGCTTGTCAGAGCCTTAAAATAAAAATTGCAGTTCGATTGTTCGAAAGAAAAAAAAATTTCGTATTTGCAATTATTCTGCAGCGGAGAGCGTCGGTGTGAATGCGAGGGAAGAATTCAACGCGTGTCGCAGCGGTGTTAATTAGAGTTTTCAAGAGTGATGAACTGCGGAAGTTCCTTTCCCTATCCTCAAGGGTTGATCCATGGATCAAGAGATTTATTACGCGGTCTTTCCCGCTGGTAAAAATATAAAAGCCGAGAAATTTTCCATCAGCCTTCGCTGCCTGCTAGCTTAATCTGTCGAGATTAATTGCAGAAAACTTTGCTGAGAAGCACAGTGAGATCTGACAAGATGAGACGACGGAAACCTGGTGATTAGCCTGGGGATCTTGACGCGTTTATGGCGGTAGAATCAAAGGAACTTCTCCTTCCTTTCATGAAATTAACCAACCATCCTTCTGCGATCCGTGTAAGAAAGTACAGAAAATTTTCTCCAAGTTTCCTTCAGCTTGTAAATAAAAATGAAAATTTTTTGAAGAGAATATAAGATTATTCGTGCTTTGTATCTCTCGTTTTTATAATCGTTGACAATCGGCAAGTATAAAAATGAGTCACAAGGCTCGAATAATCTATTATAAAAATAAACAAGATTATGCCAAGGTTATGTCAAGTTTATATTTACCGTACTGATATAACCAACCCCGCCTACTATTTGTATGTAGAAAATACCAAAACGATATAATGATATATAAATACCCCATATAAACACCCCATCGAATTTAACGTCGCAAGAACGAAGAATTTTTAAACATCGTAAACTTTTTAAGAGACATCGAACTACATAATCACCCGAAAAGTCGCCAATGACAACGAAATCGATGCGACATTAAACGCAAAGGAAAAAATAATAGTGAGAATTTAGCTTCCATGAAATTAAGCACGAGAATTCGTGCATCGAAATGCCAGCTCACTGATCCAGACTGTCATCGATAAAGTTGCGCCAGCTGCAACAAAGTACGAACAAAATTACTCCCAAGACCCAAGAATAGCGCAAACTGCAAATATGTGCTCAACCACGAATCGTTAAAATTTCATCCGGTTCCCGCCGCTTCTATGAACTCGTTATCGACGCCGTCGTGCTCGAGCTGACGCAATTGGCCTAAAACGAAAGAATTTAATAAATGACGAGAAGGTTGGACGTCCGGAGATATTACAATTTTTTCCACGGAGAATGTCCTCCTTTCGTCCGACGAAGCTCGGCTTCGACGCGTCCGCGTTGAAATTACTTCTCCTGCGAAAATTCCGAGGATCGACGAGCGGTATTTTCCGAGTCGAACGCGGCGCGGGAAAAACACGCGCGAACGATCTTCGGAGAGGATTAAATTGTCGATATATCTGTATCAACGATTAACCGATAAGGCTGCACTCGACGGACATCGTTCGATAAGCCCGTTACGAATTTCACGCGGGGCCCGCGGATAAGCTTGAACCGCTATAAATAACGTCGCGAAAGTGATGGCGGACGGCGACCGATCGATCGATTGGCTCGATCCGCGAGCGCCTCGAATTTCCCGAGCACCTGGATCAGGTGATCGGGCCCGATGTAATTCGCGTGATCGATAGTGCCATGAGTGGTTCGCGCGTGGCTGATAGATAAGCGGCTAGAGAACCAGATAAAAGCTACGCTCTGAATTTGCGGAACGGCTTCGCCGTGATCGCGCTGCGTTCTATATTCGTCGTGCTCCGTTTCTACGAAAGCCTAAGCTTTTCCTATCACGAGGAAAATCCACCTCGTTAATGTTACATCGGCCCGAGTAATTTTAGCCGCGACAGTGTGTTTGCCGTGGGATTCGGAAATCGGCGATGCTGGAATGTCGCACGAGAACACGCTGCCCGTGTCTCTCGCGCGCAGACGATGCTCTCACAATGATTGAGAAAACGTTTGTCCAGCCGGAGATCGAGTTTCACAGGGAGAACGGAAGCGAAAGACTGTCTGCGAAACTTTTCAGAGACTATGAAAGGCTGTCGCGAATTTTTTCCGCGCGTACTCGCTACGCCGTTGCTTTGTTTTCTTTCGTTTCTGCCGGTTAATGCGGCATTTTTGTAGGTCGTTTTATGAGAATCGAGGAAACGAATCGATCTCGTCGAACAGCTTGGTTTTTTGTGGTATACGCTCGTATTTTAGATGATAATAAATATCCTTTGTGACTCTCGATGATCGATCAATCGGCTCGTGATTGTTTATATTTATTATTATTAACGGCTTCTTATTGTTCATGGCTTCTGCATTTTATTGGAGATCTGCAGTCTAGATTACAGTAAATTCTTCCTAAACGACGCTCAGATTCTGCTAAAAAATGGTCAATTTGGGAAAAGCAGATATGATTAATCGTTTTATCCTATATTATAACCTTGTGGCTCGTTTTTATACTCGTTGACAATCGATAACCATAAAAACGAGCAGCGAGGCACGAATAATCGCATCTTCTCTTCCCAAATTGTCCATTTTCGTGCACAATCCGAGCGTCAATTAGGGAGAATTTACGGTATCGCTAGAAGATTGACATGCAAATGATTGCTTGCATAGGGCAAACGAAAGTTCGCGATTCGGGTTTCGATTACGCCAAAAAACATGCTGAACTGACGTCCGCGTCGTTTCGTCAAAAACAAAGTGCATCGGGAACAACAAACGAAATGTTATCGTTGGGCCGCGAATCTCGGCGCGAACGAAACATTTTC